AAGATTCATCTAACATCAGCTACAAAATCCCTAGTACCACAACCCCTTCTAAACCCAGCCTGGACTTCTGGCAGTTCTCTGCTGATGTGCTGTTCCAGTTGTTTTTGGATAATCTTCAGTAGAATCTTGCTTGCATGTATCAATAATATCGTTCTATAGTTTCCACGCTCTGTTGGGTCACCCTTCTTTGGAATGGGAACAAATATAGATCTCTTCCAGTCAGTTGGCTAAGTGGTTGTTCTCCAGATTTTTTTGCCAGGTCCATTTCTAGGTCCATGATTCTGTTCCATTTGTCGTTGTGTCTGTTCTTGTCCTAGTATCAGGCTGTGTTGGTTACTACTGCTGTGTAGTAATTTGATGTCAGGGAGTGCTATACCTCCTACTTAATTTCTTATTTTCAGAAGTGTTTTGCTTATTTGGCATTTCTTTTCTCTCCAAATAAACTTGACAATTTTACTCACAATCTCTTGAAAAATGAATTTGGTATCTGTATTGGGATTTTGTTGAATGCTCAAAACCACTGACAATGAGATGCAAATAAAAAATACTATGAGATACAATGCTTCTCATCCCAGAAACAGTGGCAAAGTTTAGCAGGGTAGCAAGCAATGAATGTTGGAGAGGATAAAGAAGGTAGGAACTCTGTTATGCACTGTGTGATTGTAAACCACTCTGGAAGGCAGTTTGGTGTTTCCTCAAAAAGTTCAACATAGATACTCTGTATGACTCAGCTATTCCACTACTAGGAATATACCCCAAGGTAATTAGAATTGAGACATAAAAAGACGTTCATAGTAGCCTTAATCACTATCACAAGAACATGGAAGCAGCTCACATGTCCAACCACAACTGAATGGATTGAGAAATTGTGGTACATTCCCACAATGGAATACTATGCAACACTCAGAAGAAACAATTTTTTAAAATACTAAAAAAAAAACTTGAGAGAGATTGGAGAGCATTATGTTGAGTGAACTAACTCAGTTTCATAAGGACAAATACTGCATATGATCATTATTGTAAAAATGGAAGGATAACTAGTAAAACATATATAGGGACCCAAAGAAGGAAGGCATGGAAGCATGGGGTGAGGATGGGTAGGAGTGAAACCATAGAGTTTGGTGGGTGGGGGGAGTGAAGGAAACGAGAAGGATAAGGGTGGGGAGGGATGTGAAATGACAAGGTAATGATTGGCAAGGTCCAATGGTGATGAATTTTACAAAACATAGTGCATGGGAATGATTGTATAGAACACAATGTGAACCAAGAATACTGTGAAACACAATGTATATGAACTCTGTGTGCAAATCAATGTTGTTGTTGATATGTGCCGTCGAGTCGCTTGCAACTCATAGCAACCTATGTACAACCACCCTAAACTCTGATCTGTCCTGTGCCAATCGCACTGTCTCCGACACACTCATCCTGATTACCCCAGTCACCGAATCAATCCACCTCATAGAGAGCCTTCCCTTCCTGAGCTGTCCCTCCACCTTACCAAGCATGATGTCCCTCTCCAAGGACCAGTCCCTCCTTACAACATGTCCAAAGTATGTTAGACAGAGCCTCAGAATCCTTGCCTCCAAGGAGCCGCCCGGTTTGACCCTTTCCAGGATGAATCTGTTTTCCTAGCAGTCCATGGTACCCTCAATACTCTTCTCCAGCACCACAGCTCAAAGGCATCAATTCTCCTCCTATCCTCCTTAGTCATTGTCCAACTCTCTCTTGCATAACAGGTGATAGCAAAGACCATGGCCTGTATCATATGCACCTTAGTCTCCAGAGAGACACCATTGCTCTTCAGTACTTTGGAGAGGTCCCTAGTGCAAATCAATATACAATATATTTTTTTTTAAAAAAAGACTCTTGTGAAATGATCAAGGGACATATGGGGACAGCCATATCTGACCTTTACCAACTTCACAATGGGGAACTGTCCCTGTCAACGACATCAAAAATGCGAAACCAATTCCCATGAGGTCAGACACATTCCTCAAACTCCTACATCTCTTTCTACTCATCCCAGCCTTAATCTTACTGCTTTACTAGGTCCAAATTTCATAGCTCACAGATGACACAGAATGATTTTTTTGTTGCTGTTATGTGCCATCGAGTCAGAAATGGCCTATAGTTGACCCTCCAGTGGGTTTCTGAAGCACAGGAAGGGACTGCCCATCCTTCTCCCGAGGAGCATCTGGTGGAGTCAAACCATGTGCCTTCAGGATTGCAACATAGCTTCTTATCACAAGGTCACCAGAGAACCATTATTAGGAAGTTAAAAGGCATCTGATCCAAACCATAGTCTTTGTAATTACTTGGTGTTCATCAGAGAGCTGGATAAAGACTAAGAATGATAGAAGAAGAATAACTGCCTTTGAGTTGTGGTGCTGGAGAAGAGTATTTAACATACCAAGGACTGCCAAGAAAGTTCTGTACTAGAGAAGGTGAATCCAAGCTGTTCCTTGGAGGTAAGGATTTGGAAGCCCCATCTCACATTGGGCATGTTGCCAGGAGGGACCAGTCCTTGGAGAAGGACATCACGCTTGAAAGGATGAGGAACAATGCAGGAGAGGAAGACCCTGAATGAGATAAATTGACAGAGTAACAGGGGTAATGGAATTAGATGTGTCAGAGACAATGAGAGTAGCTCAGGATAATGCCCGCACAATAATCTCTGGCTTCAAAGGACATGTTGCATTCTCTTGCTTATTCTTTGCTGGTGGTGAGATTTTTCCCAATTCTACTACTTGATTCACTCAATTTAATAGCAAGACTAGCCAACCCCCTCTGGATAGGCTAATAAATCCTGTTCACATATTCCAGCCCATCCACATAGCAAAGGAAGTCAATGGATAGGGAAGCCATTTTCAACAATAAACCCTTAAGACCACAACTCTAGTTTTAATTTTGTAGTTTGGAATATCTTGCTTTTTGGCCCAGAGTGGTCAATTTAAAGTAAGATAATAATTTTGTGGTTTTCATTGTTTATTTTATCCATCATCCATATAACTGGGTTTATCCAGACTACCCACATAAATAACACAGAAAGCAGAAGCAAGTGGTGGCATCTCTACCAACCACACCACAATTAACCAAAACCCCAATGGCCAAATTTATTGAGAAAATGAGTACATACAATTTCATGGTAACTGGCTGTGTTACTAAGTCTTGAGTTTACAGGTTTGTGTAATTTCCCAGCCTTTGATTAACTGAGATTTATTATCTCTTAAGAAGAATTAAGTTGTGATACTCTATTGCAAATACAAAGGATATCTTTTACTTCACTTACTGAAATAGTATAAATGAATTCGAAATTGTGTAATTCAAGTATGCCAGAAGAAAGCTTTTGTTTTGTCTTTGTAACTTCCACACAAACAGGAAATTTTAGACTTTTCCCAGTGGGCTTAGCTCTTGGTTAAACATGTACAAGAATCTAAGACAAAATAAATAGGGGTTGTTTTTGTTTTAAGTGCAGTGATTTGTGGCTTTAAATGTTTTTTTTTGTTTGTTTGTTTGTTTCTGTGACTGCTTGTTAGTCAAGTCAGTGGAGTTATTTGCAGAGAACTCGAGCATGTGCTACAGAGTTCTTTGTGTAACGAGTGACTTAGTGCCCTGAGAATCTTAGTTACCTGAATTGTTTCTAAGATTATTTGTAAAAGCTGAGTATCAGTGATTAAAGAGAAGCAAAAATTCTAAAAACAAGACCAAAAAAGAGTTTTGTAATTTTATAATTCATGACAGCATTTTTTAGTCAATTGTTTCAATTTTCAGTGATCTCTGTGGAAACTTGAATTTTATTTCTCATAAGAAGTTGGATTTGTCTGTATTTTGTTGTTTTTGTGTACGGTTGAGTTGAAACCAACCTATAGCTGACTCTCTGGTGGATTTTCAGAGGCAGTTAACCGCATGGGAGGAGACTGCTCATCCTCCTACATCCTTTTCCTGTGGAGCAGCTGGTGGATTTGAACTGTGTGCCTTCAGGATTGCAGCACAGCTTCTTGCCACTAGGCCACTAGACTGTAAATTGCATGGGAGGAGATTACCCATCTTTGTACTGTGGTAATGTTGGTGTACCACCTTTGGATTGGCAGCATAAGTCACTATACCTTGCCTTACCAGAAGTCAATAAACGTAACAGCTATGACAATATTGAAGGAAAACTTGCATTATTACTGAAACAATGTCCAACAGGTCAGACAACTGTTCACAGCTTACCTGTCTCACTTCCAATCAAAGGCTGGTTTGCAAAATGCTTGACAAAATCCTTCAATGATGAGAATTCATTAAAGCCAAATTTAAGTGAGTACCCAGTATATTCAACATGAAAATGTTTGACAGAGTCTTTTGCTCTGAAAGGAAAAAGAAGTGTTTAATGTTATTGGACAAATATCTTTCTAGAAAGTAACCATACTTGTCATTATTAGCAACACTAACAGCCATTTCCAAGAACTGAGAACTACTATAAAATAATAAAAATCACTGTTAGTTCTATAACGAATCTATTATAAATTATATTTA